ACACAAATATAAAGTCGAAAGAGTAACATGATGCCACTGATATTGTGTTCGTGTGTTATAAAAAAAATTTGAAAACAAGGATAAAAGCAAATGGTAATATCGCCTCGACATGTAACAATGGCTATTATACTTATAAACCAAAATTGTTCAAATTTGATATGTGGCAGGAGCCGCACTGAGTATAATAATAATATAATAATAATAATAATAATAAATATTCAATCACTTATTCTACATGGATGATCTCAAACTCTTTGCCAAAGAGGACAATGAGTTGAAGGGCCTCCTCAATATTTTAATATGCTTCAGTGACCACATAGATATGGGCTTCGGATTAGATAAATGGGCAAAAGTAACATTCAAGAAAGGTAGAATTACAGAAATACCCTTAACAGATTTAGATTTTGCCACAAAGATTAGGGTACTGGAGCATGGTGAAGCTTATAAGTACCTAGGAATTAGCGAAGGAAATGGCATTCAACATCCCCTAATGAAGGAAAAGATAAGAAAGGAGTACTACAGTCGTGTACATTTGGTACTAAATACCGAGCTAAACTCAAAAAACAGAATATCAGCCATAAACACCTTGGCTGTTACAGCGTAATACAGCTTTAATGTCCTTAACTGGACCATAGCTGAAATTAAGCGAATGGACTCCAAAACGAGAAAGCTTCTCACTTGCTACCGCATGCATCATCCCAAATTTGATGTTGATCGACTGTATGTGCCCAGATCCGAAGAAGACAGAGGATTAGTTCAACTAGAACTGTCCTACAAAACTACAACAAAGGTACTTGGAAACTACAGAAGACTGGATGATCGTATGTGTCAAAGAACATGAAAGTAGTAAGCGTCTTTACTCTGTAATAAAAGAAGCCAACAAGTTCAAAATAGTGTTTCAAATGGGCACATAGGTAAATTTATATTGTAACACCCGAGCGCTAATATCCCTTCAAATTATTCCAAAAAAGTCTTAATTCCGTGCAAATGTATATGCTTAACTCAAATCAACAATTAGATATTGAAGAAACCTACCTTTTTGGATGTTAACGACCAGAAATAATTGGACTTCTTCTCGCTCTTCTTGTCATACTTTACGGCCTTATTGAGAGACATTCGCTGCTGAACCATTTCGCGCACTTATACAATTTTGGCCTAATTACTCCCTCAACGAAATTAATAGGCGTTTTTTTCTTTTTAATTTAAAGTTAACTTAACTTTCAAATGTCTGAAAGCAAGTGTAGATTTTACTTATTTTTTTAAGAAGAAAGTTAACTTTCAAATGTATGAAAATATCGACAATTAAAAGAATAACAAAGTACTTTCAAATATTGAAAATATCGACAAATAAAAGACTAACAAAGTAATTTTCAAATGTATGAAAATAAGTGTAGTTTTTACTTAATTTTTTAAGAAGAAAGTTAACTTTCAAATATATGAAAATATCAACAATTAAAAGAATAACAAATTACTTTCAAATATATGAAAATATCGATGAAAATACTTATAAATTATAAATAACAAAAAGAACAAAATAAGTAGGACAGTAAAGCATTTTTTTAATATTATACATTGAAAATAAATAAACAATAATTAAATCAATTGTAAGAGGAAGTTAAAAGAATGGAAAAAATGACATTGACAATTTAAAAACAAATGCAATATAGATGTCTATAATGAAGTAGGTCCTGGATACAGTCTGCTCGCCTCTCTCAGGAAAATGTGAAGGCGCTGACTATGTTTAGGGACTGCTTTTAAGAATAAAAAAACGAGCAATGTATTGTTTTAAATACAAAGTTCTGTGTCCTGATATTTTAATTACATCCTTAGTCGTTCTCCATAGTCTTTCAACCGTCTGCGTGTGGATAGTTTGATCTGTTGGATCTACAAAGTGTTCAGAATGGTTGATTTGTTTTTGCGTGTACCCGTGTTCTGTTATCTTAGGATCTTAGGATTGGTTGGAAAAGATTCCAGTAGACTAATTGAAGGGATTCCTAAAAGCCCATGACTCAAAGAAATACAAATAATTGTTCTCAAAAGGACAGCCCATACTTTACGAAGGGCTTTATTATCCATTTTTTTTTTTTTTTTTTGTCGTTGGAAAGTGTCATGACGCCATTTCTAACCTTAGTTCTCTGGGCGCCACCCGGAAAGAAATGTTTACACGCCAGAAGTCAGAGGATAATAATAATAATAATAATAATAATAATAATAATAATAATAATAAACCTGAGCAAGAAAAACAAGATAATGTTACGGTTACAGAATTAGGAACTGTAACAAATTTTGTTGAACTTTACAATACACACAACAAACAAATCAACGACTACAAGAGCAGAAATTGCTTTCTTCTTGATATGGAAGTTCCAGCAGAGTGTAATGTATCTTTGAAGATCTTCAAAAGCAACCACAATATAAGGAACTTGAAATGAAATCTCAAAAATGTGGCACATGAGTCCATCAATAATTTCAGTTTCATTTAGAGTCATCGGATTGATTTAATCATTGAACGGGTTCCGGGTAGCCCATTCCTTAGTGAAAAACTTGTACTCGCAAGTACAAATCACACATCACGAAGACACTTATCTATGCAACGTGCGTGATTTTAGGCTATTTGTTGTTATTAAGAAACTATCTCAGTGGAACTTACTCCTTACTCCTGGATTACGAAGGATGTTTCGACTAAATGTATGCAGTGTGTTTTAGTTGGGAAGGTTAGAGTTCGGGAGAATTAATGAATGCAGTTCGTATGAACATTTTGCAAGGAAATAACAATAAAGTAGGGAAAGGCTTGCAAACTTTCGTCTGTAGGAAAATGTGTGTAAGCTGAAAAACAAATCATCACCCACAAGGCCGTGTAGAGGATTTTAGACTCTATCAAGTTTGGAAAGTATACTGAGATGCTCCATGGCTTCAGGACTCTATTTTATGTCTAATCTGACTCTTATAAAAGTAGGGTATGCCAGAAAGAGTTACGTACTGACTGCTGCAGTACAGGGAACCGACGATTTTTCCAGCATCTTTAGCGATGGATTGTATATACGATTTCCACGATTTTTATGGTGAGCTTAAGTCGCAATAAGCTTTCAAGGCAAAGGGTTTTCTTGTAATAACACCAGTTCATTGCGATTCAGGAGCTGCTTGATAATGCTGGATTGTTACAAGTTTGGATTTGAGGTTTTCCCTTTATTAGTTTATTAAAGCTAAGTCAGGATAGAACTCAACTACCAGGCTCTGGTCATCTAGAATTTTGAAAGTGCACCAATATACCGCATAGATTTTCACAAGATACCGGAGTATATCATTAGACAGACCATTAATATAAAACAAGAAGAGGGTTGAACCGAGAGGCGAAACTTGGTGGACACCTGCATTAAACTCATTGGCCTCAGAGTACTGGCCATTAACAGCTACATTCATGGAAAGACTTGATAATTCCATTGATTCTAAAGCTGGAGATCTTGTGTAGCATCTCCTATGCAAAATCTTATCATATTCTTTCGATATAAGCAATGCGGTGTTCATTGTCTAATGCCTCGATGCTCTTTCAGGCTTTCATTCTAAAGCTGTTAATAAAACAGTATGGATTAAAATAATACAATAACTACCGGGCGTGATTTCGAATATCGCCGGAGCCGTTTTCTGATTCATTCGGCTTCCTGATAGTCGTATAATGACAATCTAAGAGAGTGTGAAGACGTGATAGAATTCAAATGTAAGAAAATCAATTCAAAGAAAAAAAAATGATTGATGTTTTACAGAAAATAATTCGAATAATATTCCCAATAACCTAAGCTTAATTAAATATCATTTGCAGCAATTCACGATAAGGTATATTTTACTATGGTGAGTTCGATCCTCAGCAGGTTTGTCGAGACTAGATTTGTCCAATAAAATACAGAGTTCGTATTTAAACTTAAACGATTTCTAATTTGCATATACATACGTAAATAGAGATAACATTCCTGCGTGGGAAAACTTATATACTAAAACTTATAATTAAAAATTGGCTGGAAAGAAATTCGAACCGTGTCCTGTCTATAAATTTCACAAATCTCCCAACCCTAAGTGTTTGATTTATACATCCAGTTTTGTCTCGTACTAAACTGAGCTGAGTAGATTAGAAAGTAACATTTCTTTCTGAAAAAGAATAACTACACTCATCCGGCTTAAACATTTTTGTCAAATGTAAATTACACGAAAATGTTAAGTTGCATATTGATTGTCTTGATATTTTTTCATCTTTGAGATAAGATTTTTTAAAACTTAATTTTCCCCGCATTTTTTCAAAATCATGTTTATGTATAAGTTCAAAAATGTTTTCAGTGAAACCTGACAATTTTTTTACAATCTGAACCGAATGGAAATTTTGTTTTCAATTTATTTTATTCAGTCTTTTCTTCTTTGCTCACAATTTCTTCGTTTCCTATTCTTCCATTATTTTCCTGTCCTTTTTTGGGTTTTTTATTCCATTTTGTCGTTCCTTGATCTATTTCATTTTTATTTTTCTTCCTTTTTATTTCTTATTTTCTTTCTCTATTTCTTTCTTCTTTCCACTCTGCATTATCTTTCTTTTCTTTTACCGACTTCTATATTTTCCTTCTCTTTGGTTCGTTTATATTCTGCTTTCCGTTTTCAATATTTACTTCTTTTCTACCTTTTTTGTTTCTTTTTCTTGTCTTTCTTCTTTCTGTTTTCCTTTGTTTCTCTTAAGTTTTCTTGTTTCTGCCATCATCTTTAATTTATACCGCAGCGTGTACTTGGGATTAGCGACCTCGTTTCTTTGATCATAACAACTTCGTTCCTCACTGCGTGCCAGAGAAAGTTTAGTAAATAGCAGCTATTCATTCTTCAAGGTATTTAGCGTTTAAAATTTTCTCTTCTCTATTAAAATCTATTCTTCTTCATATTTACTTTCATCCTCCTACTCTACCTCTTTCACCCTTCCTTTTCCTACTCTTCTTCATCCTTTTACGCCACATCTTTACCTCTTCATTTTCATGCTCTTCTTTATCCTGCTACTCCACATCCTTCCCCTTCGTTCTACTACTCTTCTACATTTTCTACTCCTCCTCCTTTCCCCTACCTTCTATTCTTCTTCATCCCCCGACTCCACCTCTTCCCCTTCGTTATCCCACTCTTTTTCATCCTCCTACTCCACCACTTCTTCGCTTCCTTCTCCAACTCTACTTCATCCTCCTACTACACACCTTCCCGCTTCCTTCTCCTACACTTCTTCATCCTCTTACTCCACCTCATTTCTCCTTTCTTTCTCCCACTCTTTTTCATCCTCCTACTGCACCTCTTCCCCTTCGTTATCCTACTCTTTTTCATCCTCCTACTTCACCTCTTTTCCCCTTCCTTCTCCTATTGTTCTTTTTCAAAAACCTGGATTTTATTATTTCACTTTTTCATCATTTTTCTGTTGCCTGATTCACATTTTTTTCTTTCCCTTTTTTTCATTAGTTCTCTTTCTTCTCTTTATTCATATTTTTATCATTCTTACTTTTCACCTTCCTTTTCACAATCTCTTTTTTCTACATATGTTAACCACTATTTATACTTCCTTTTTTTATATTTCTCGTTGTATTTTTGTTTTTGTCCTTTTCTCCTCCACCCCCGCACTTACTCTGAAGTAGTCCTCTTCCTCCTACTCCGTTCCTATTTGCTTTATCCTCTTGCTTTCATCCATTCCTTTCAATTTTTTTCTTTATCTCCCATAACTTGAAATATTTCTTTTAAAATATCGATTTCTTGGGTGGAAATTGAAAGCGACTCGTTTTTTATACTATTTCCTGTTTTCTCTTCTGTTACTCAAAATAATTTAGCAAATTTAGCGAAAAAGAGAAAGGTATTTGAAAATCGACTGTAAAATAAATTACATTCATGTTTTCAACTTTTAACATTACTTGTATAATCATGCGTTTCAATTGCTACTAATACACGACAAACAATTTTGCTTTCCACACCAATGGGTGTGTTCATTGTACGTCGTTTATCTGGAAATGATGTGTTGGTTTAATATTAGCGGAATCGTTGCGTACCTTGGTTAATAAAACATTAATCCTTTCAATGTATTTGCATTCCCTCCTAACACACCACAGTGTCCTCGTTCAGAGTCAGCATTAACTGTCTCCTTATATTCTCCTTAATCTCGTCCCCGGCCATTTTAACATTGGAAAAATGCTAAAGTCGAAGGGTTTCAAATGTAAAATAAAGTTTCGAAGCTGACAGTCCTGTTTAATTTTATATTTTATCAAAAACCCTCTATGAAATGTGTATTGTTTCTTCGCTCATTATAAAATGATTATATACGAGAAAACCAGTCACACGTTGGGTCACTGACAGTTCAGGTTACCATTCAACATTCAACATTGAAGTTAATTTCAACATTAAAAAATTGTCTGTTTAAATAAATTTGAAATAAAAGTGCTTACAGTATAAACAACTCGGTCATTTTTTTAGACATTTGTAAACAAAACTTAATTTTCTGTTTTAAAAATCTTGCAATCATAAAATATATATTTCTGAAACATTATTTGAGGAAAATTAGCAGATTAAAAGATAAGTTAATCTGATTTGAAACAAATATCGCTATAGCATAAAATGTTGTATACAAACATTTTCTGACCACGGGATCTTGTTTTTCTGGCGTGTTAATCGATTTGTTGACAGGAAGTTGACCTCCGAAAGTTTTCATAGTTAAGTATGGCGTAGCAAACGATACATTTCATTAGTTTTCTTTTTTTTCGTAAGAAGGGGCAACCCTTAAAACACGTGACATTTCAAGAACAGATTTATCGGGTTGTACATGCATACTTCAGAACTTCTGCATCTGTATAAGCATATAAAAACAAATCGAAATTCTTTTAAAAATAGTCGGTAACTTCAGATTGTAATAAACCTTAAAATATACGATTAATAAATATATTTTTACTTAATAACAATATTCCCTAATAGTTACCTCATTGAAATTGAACTTTAAAAGATTCTAAAACTTTATAAATTATTCAATTTTAAATTGCAAAAAATTGTAAAAAAAATTATAAAACATCTTGTAAAAATTCAGTTTTAACCGAAATTATTTTCTTCAGACAATATTGTCTTTAATATATATTATTCATAAAAGCAATTAAAGTAAATAATGTCTTAGTTTTATTGTGTTTTTTTTTTAATTTTTTCGATTCATAACAAATTTTCAGTAAGACTGGGTCCGATTTTGCAAAAGAAAAATGGTGATTTCAATTCTTCAAAAAATTGTGCTTTTAAATAATATAGTCACTAAAAATTACTTTGATGTATTTCTCAAACTTTCATGAATTAATGTATCTGTCACTGCAAAAAAAAAGTGGCGAAAATCTGCTATGCTAAAAGTTAGTACAACCGCTCATGTAGGAAAAACAAGTTTTTTAATCCAAATTTCGAATGTTCGAAAAATGAGTAAAAAAAATTAAGTAATCAAAATACTTTGATCCTTCCACTTAATAATAACATAACGATTTTGATGATAAAACTATGTTTTTATTACGTTTGGAACATATTTTCATCACGGAATGCTGACTTTTTGCGATCTCGCTGAGGTACCCTCTTAAAATATTTTTAATATCAGATTAACTTATTTTTTTGATATGCAACCAAAAAAAATTAAATCATATTTTTTTTTAAATAAGGCCAAAAATATTTTTCAAATATTTAAAATGGTGTTTGTTTAAAGAAAGCTGAAATATAAATGAGCACACATGCAATCATAGAGAGGTAGAAAGAGATAGGTAAGAAGAGAGAAGTGGAAAGAGAGAAATGTGAGAAGAGAGAGGTGGAGGGAAAGAGAGACGTGGAAAGAGAGAGAGATGGGAAGAGAGAGGTGGCGGGAAAGAGGTGGAAAGAGAGACATGGAAAGAGAGAGAGGTGGGAAGAGAGATGAGGAATGAGAGAAGTAGAAACTTAAATTATTATGCGCTGGACGGCCAGACGCACCACACAAAAAAGCAAGCACACATGAATCACAGACTTTTAGTATTAAATAGATAGATAGATAGATAGATAGATAGATAGATAGATAGATAGATAGATAGATAGATAGAAAGAAAGAAAGAAAGAAAGAAAGAAATACAATGGTAACACAGTATGCAAGCTCATTCATACGCATCACACTGCCGACTGAGTAAGGAGACAAGAATGTTTCTTTTCATGCATCCAAATAAAATATCATTTAATTTCCAAATTGCCGCGCGAATAATTATTTAGATATTCCATAGAGGTGAGTTGTTTCCGAAAACACTGCAGAGTTACCTAAAAGTTCAAGAAATATTAACATTGAAGTATACTTCTTTAGGAAAAGAATTCCATACCACATTATGACTGTGTATTCTATAAAATGTCTATAAACTTCTTTAGCACTTCCTAGCTACATAAATAACAACTGTCTTATGATGACTATCCACTAGCAAATCAGAAACTGAAACTTTTTTTCAGATAAGACAATGAAAATAACTATACATTTATATCTAATTTTTTCATGCGTATAAAGATGTTGCTTTAATATTTACATTGTGAATATTACTACGAAAGTAGTTTATTTGCTAAGGTAAACCTTTGTTTAATCTGCTACGTATACATCCAAGGCATGAAAATCATAAATTATTAGTATGATAATGCTATAGCCCAACCTTCCTCCCAAACATAAACGATGTTAAAGACTTAGTGGCGTGCGATACGGATACACGGTGAGAGGTTGAATCAGCGACCAACAGATTGGAAACCAGGCAGCTGGCGAATATAAATTTAGATGTGATATAATGCTAGTTGCGAACTAGAAGCGAATTTTTCTGTTGTTGTTGCAATCACTCACCACTGTGAGTGAAAATTTACACTAGTAAATGAATATAGGGAGTACGTATTTTAGTTTTAGGGAGAAACCAGATGTCCTTCTCTTTTCCATGGAAGCTATTTGCATTTGCGCCGTTTCTAAAGCAAGAATTCACTCATAAACTTAGTCATTCGCCCCCTTTTTTGAGTAATGCGGCATTTTTCAAAATATAAAAATATATGGATTAGCATCAAATATGAATTGGAATCCGATATATTTATAAGATAAGGATCTTTTGTATTTTTTCCTTATCCTATCATATATATCTAAAGTTCGTTCAGCATAATTTTGTGCCTTTTCTTTGTACTTATATTTATCGTCCTCTATATACCCATGCGCATCAGGCGAGGTCGTTGAATTTGTCGACATTTGTCTTCTGCCTTGTCGCTTTTTTTTTCTTGCTTTAACCATAAGGCACTGTTCTTAAGAAGAAAGATGCATGCCACAATAGTTATATTAATGGCTGGTAAATATTTTCTTTTAACAGACGTCCAGAATTGAACACATAATCCTCAGAACATGTCCTATAAATTGTGTTGCTTACAATGAAAAGGTGAAAGATTTAAGTGCAACTATTGACGTTCCATTGTATATATTTCAAAAGAAATATAAAACCCGGTAGATTAAAACAAAAAGAAACCAAGAAAAAAGGAAAAGAAATATTGCCTTAACATGTTCATTGTCAAATAAGTTTTAACGTTGTATCTCCTGTTTCAATCTGAATGCTTCAGCGTGGGGTAATGGTTAACGAGTTATTTTTTTTTTACCATTACTAGAGTAGCGATTTTGATCCGCACTGGTTGCCCTATACATTTAAATTTGGGTCCAAAACCTATGCTCAGCAAAGTTACAACTCTTATGTCTGGTTCTTCTTATAAACATTGATGAAAATAAAAATTATTCATTGCGTGTTTAAAAAGTTTGATTTTAATAAAAATCTACTAATCTACACAACAGAATGTCTAATAAATGCAAAATATTCACGCGTTAAAATCTAAAAAAGTATTAAATATCTTAAAATATGGAGCTTATACACGACAAAACAAATTCGAAAATTTCATTTTTCGCAAGTAGCTGCTGCTATAATGCAAACGAATAACGCATTATTATAAAATATACATCGACTTTGTAACGACTTTGCTAAGACAAGTTATTTCATTCGCTAAAATGAGATGCAAGACTTGTAAAAGAAAATAGAACAATTTTCTTAGACCTTCACTTCAATAAGAAGACGAAACATCAACAACTAAATTGAAGGCAGGTTAGATTTAAGGTTTGTCTCACTGGAAAAATAACCTAGTGGATTAAAGCCTTGGTCTATGAATTTGGTGAGATAGTAATCATGAGTTCAATCCCTCGGCTTGTCAAGTGTGAACTTGAATTAAGTGGAAACAGCGCACGTATTAACTAAGCTGTAATAAAAATATAAGAACTAGACGAGATATCCCGAGAGATTCGCAGTGGAACGATTGAAGCCTACCCCGGTAGGTTAAATAAAGTCTTCAGATTATAATTCTCTGTAGGTTACCAGGGCCAATATACACCTAATTGTGGTAACAACGACAATGTTGAAGACAATATTCCGAATGTAAATAAATTAGAATTCAATGTGACATAAAATCGCATGTAAGGGAAATCCAGCGATTTGATTTGATTTCTAACTTTGCTCTTTCTCTATGTTTCTTTTCTGTTTTATTAACTTTGTGCCTTGCTTTTGTGGGTCAGCGCCTGCCTTTCTTTCTGCATTTAAATTTTCTCCCCTTCATGTACCAT